CTGTCTCAATGCTTAGCCCCATTTGTATTTGCTTAGTTTTAAAGATCTAGTCCTCATAGCTGAATTCATGCCAGAGACATTTCTACATCTAGATATAACACATCTAAATTGAACCCAATATGAATATTGTACTAGAAAATCTATTAATGTTACATAAGACATACATTATCAGACATTAGCATATCAAATCAAGAAAGTCCTTGTCAATATGTCCATCGTTCTCCAATAGTGGTCACTTAATCGATTACTATCCTCTATGAAACCATCAACCCACTAGACAGGTGTCCCTCTTCTTGTTCCGGGCCAGCTGCAAAGGTATTGCATCAAATTCAAGTCCTTTCAGAACCTAAACATAAACAGCTGTCTCTGTCCCCCTCCCCTCTTCTCTCTCCTCTCTGCCTCTCCCCCTCCACCCTCCCTCTCCCTCCCTGTCTCTCCTCTCCTTCCCTCCCTCCTCCCTCTTCACTTTCTAGGGCAGTGATCAAACCTTTTAGAGCTTTCAAAGATAGCAGGCTGCTATGTCACTCATGCCAGAAATTCATCCCCACTGCTCTAGGATGTTCATCTGGAAGTCCGCTGTGATATGCCCTGATGGAGACAAAGCTTATTTCACCCTCTCTTGTGCAGACACTGATAGGAGATGATAACACAGGTATTCAGAGAGGACCTTCACAGAAGAGTACTGAGTGTGACTTTTTTTGTTGTTCTTTTGGCGGAAGCGGGGATTGAACTCAGACCCTTACACTTGCCAGGGAAGTGCTTATTCCACTGAGCATCTCCCTGGCCCTTGAGTGTGACTTTGGAGAAGAGCTGAGATTAGAAGTCACTAAAGGAAGAAAATGAGGTCACTGTGGTGTTGTTTCTGAGGAGCTAACATCACTAGTGTGCTGAATTTAAATAACAAAGGAAAAATCCAAGAGAACCAGGATTGCTGAGGTGACTTCAGAAAGAGCTCACTAAAATGAAGCTCCAGAGGAATGAGAATTATGGACAAAAGACTCTGGGATGCTGCCTCAGAGAAGCGATCACAGATTGCTCAAGAGAAAAGCTACAATCCATAATGCATTGCTGAAAGGAGCTGAGGGCACTGCAAGTTTACTCTGGAGTCAAGATGTGATCTTGCAGGTGTTTCTTCACAGAGATCAATAACTAAAACTACACAAAGGTGAGCTGAGGCTCACTTAGGTGCAGCTGAGATCACCGAGTTGGTGCCTCAGAGGGGTCCCTTGAGAGCCTGCCATCACTGGCATGTTATTTTAGAGCGGGAATAGAACTGCTGTGTGTTATCGCAGAAATTCCCCATGAAGCAAAGCTGTCAGCCTTCTCTGAATCCATCTGTCCCTGGCTAAGACTTAGGACCCAGTGCTATTCAGAACACAATTTCTAATCATATAGGAGAATTAATAAAGTCATGTTCTAATTAAAGTAACTATATTTAATTAAATTTAACACATTGGAATATTTGTTTAGAAAGACTTTATCTTAAGGTCATTTAAATCACATAGTACAAGTGTGTTGGATTGAAGTTCCCAACAACCTAGGTTTTCAGGGAACTCTTTCTAGAATATATTGTTGAACCTCCTGCCTTCTTAGACAAAGTGTGCTTAGTATCTTCCTGCTTGTTCTTGCTGTGTCACTGCACCTGACCCAGCGGTAAGCCTCAGGCTCAGTCATCTAGAACTGGACAGCAGGCATCAGTGCCCCCTTCTGGGCAGGATTCCAGCTCCGTATTCTTGCCACTTGTTTCCTCCTCTCTTGGAAGCAGGTGAAAGCACATGACCTCCAAAGGGTTTTTGTTTGTGTTCGTCTTTTTTTTTTTTTTTTTAAATGTATTTAAAACAGACCGGACTCCTAGTGATCCTCCTGTTTTCAGCCTCCCAAGTGCTGGGATTATAGGCGCATGCCACCACACCCAGAGTGCCCCCCGGGGGCGGAGCCAGCACAGCAGGCTGGGGATCAAACTCCTGGCCCCTGAGTCTGCCTATGCAGGGGCTTTAATCTGCTTGTTTGTCTTTTTGAGACAGGATCTCACTATGAAG